TTAAAAGGCAGATCTGGAAACTACAGTAAATGAGAGGATCTAGAATCTTGGGTATATTAAAAGGCAGATCTGGAGACTACAGTAAAGAGGATCTAGAGATTAGTGCCAAAGAGCACATCTGGTGAATATATTAAAAGACGGATCTGGAGACTAAAGGGAAAGAGGGATCTGGTGAATACAGTGAAAAAGCAGATCTGAGGAGTACACTGAAAGGAAAAATCTGGAGGCTAGATTTAATTAGGCAGATCTAAATATTAAAATTGAACAGGGGAAATGGTGAATACATTGAAACGGCATATCTGGAGACGAGAGAATTCAGAAGATCTGGAGACTAGATTGAAAGGGAAGACCTCGTGAGGACACATCTCAAGACTGCAGCAAAGGGTGGAGCAGCATCTTCCCACAAACTGCTACTTTGTGAAACCACTTCCAAGAGGATGCTTCCTTGAACTCTACAATCTTATCCCGTTCAAGTTAAAGTTTAACCGTTTTCTTCTCCATGTATCCCCATAAACCGTGCCTCTTATTTTATAACCCTCTACCTTGGTGAACATTACTGTCATCATTTAATCCGCAAGCCCAGTTTATGACAGAAGCTTAATTCCATTAAATATTTTCAGCGGATCCAATTCGTTATTGACTCATTGCATTGTGGAACAAGTGCAGCTTGTGTATGTTTCCAGCGCAAAAGGATGCTTCTCTTGCAGACCACAGCTGGTAAAGTGATCTCGATTTTCACTGAGCCTCTCTTTAGTGTGGCCCTGTGCCAAACGAATCTCGACTAGGCAAATATCAACGGCGTCTTCAGCAGGTGATTCATGAAATCTCCTTCCAGTTATTTGCTTATGCTAATGTGCGTCAACAGAGACACACGCTGAGGAAAGTTCAAATATGCCATACTTGTCCCACGATTACCTAATACGAGCACATTTCTATGGCCTCGAGTGTTTAGGCAAATATTAGTCTTCGGTGTCGAGATATATTGGTTTTGGGATTGTAGGCCCGGCGCCGAGGTGGTTTTAATAGTGTATCTATGTATTAGCAGTTCCGTTTCGGGGCGCTTGTTCACGACGTTTGCGTTAATCTAAGAACGTACAACAGGGATTTATTCGATTTCCTCTCTGATGCCATACAGTTGGTTTCTTTTTCTTTCCTTCTTTCCTTTTTCCTTTCTTCCTTCCTACCTTCATTCCTTCGTTTCTTCCCTTCTTTCAATTTTCATTTTCCTCCTTCTTTATTGACGGATATTCACTCTCATCACCTCGGTATCTCATTTCCCTCTACCCTTTGATTTATTTTTCTTGGTTTGTACGGATATATATATATATATATATATATATATATATATATATATATATATGAAGCAAAATTTTTCTTAGCCGGCGTGTTTCGTCCTCTGAGGGATTTTATCATGGCAAATGCGAGAATTTTATTTTGTGGAAAGTATTTGTATACAAGAACAAAAATGTTACGGGTTTTTCAATATGTTTAGGTATGGAATTGCTCATGAATATTCATCAGGTTAACAGAATAGTCAGGCAAGATTATGGAGAATATGGGGTGATACATTGTAATAAACGAAAGTGATGTTTATATGTATATATGAACAATAGAAAATATTAAAAATTAAAATCTTCAGACACACTGGGTTGGAGATTAATATTCTTTCGTTTTTATTATTATTATTTCATTTAGATTCCTCGACTAGTTTCGACCGAAATGGCCATCATCAGGAGAAGAAATATTTCTGCTTGCTGGTAGCAGTGAACTACAAAAATGAATGTCTTGATGGAGAAAATGAACTTTTGTCTGTAGTTTTCATTTGTTTTTGTTTTTTTTTAATCTTTTTAACCTGAATCTTTTAACATTCCTTGTGTTGGTCAAACAGTCTCTTTTAATTTGTTATTTGAGATAAGAGCTGGATGGATCCATGATGCTCTGAATTCCCCTGGCCAGTTTGACATATATATATATATATATATATATATATATATATATATATATATATATATAGTGATTTTAATTAAAATTTTGTTTATTACTATTAGATTTTCATTGTTTTTTTCTTAGGAAAATAATTTGTTGTTTTCCTTTTTTTAAATTTTTTTACTTTAACCGGTTTCGCTTATCTTTTCAAAAAGTTTTCAACTGTTTCTATCTCGACATGTTCATGTTTATGTTTTGTACGAATTAAATTCAAGGGGCTTAACTGGCTATATATGTCGTTTATGATAAGGGAAGTTTGCTAGAATCTATTTATGCAATGAATTGAGTATGGGTTTGAATTTGTTGATGAAAAATATTTACTTATTAATCCGCCTTTGTTCCGTGGTTCTATAGTCGCACTGGTAGAATGGGAAGACACTAAAATTTGGCAGATTTTATCCACTTGATTCCAATGTATGTTGGCTAAGGGGTATATTTCTGGTGTGGGGTTCCCTAATTTGTTGGCGATGAACTGTCATCCTTTGCCAGAGAGACGAGCCGGTTTGGCCAATGTAATTCTCGTGGCAATCCCTGCATGTAATTATGTATATTACATTCTCTGAGTCGCAGAGAAATCATTTTCAGTTTTGAATTTTGATCCGTATTTGAACTGAAATTCATGAATTTCTTTCTTTGAACTTTATATATATATAATATATATATATATATATATATATATATATATATATATATATAAAATTAGTATTGAAATTATTTCGTATTGGGATTGATTTATGTGTTATAGATTTAACCGTTTTAGTTTAATGTTTTAATATTCTTAATTCTTTCAGTAATAGCGATAATGGAAAACATCCGGTGCGCAGATTTATATTTTAGTAAAATATGATTGCGGCAATTTCGAGAATTTTTTTTTCTATGTATAACTAATACATTTGATAAATTGTTATGCCTAAGGTATCTTTAAGATTTACAACTTCCCGAACGCGGAAGCTATAGTCAAACTACTGTACTTTATTTTTTAATTATAGTCAATTAATAAAATATTGCGTTATTTTTACTGCACCTATATATATATATATATATATATATATATATATATACAAAAGGGAACATAGAAGTCAACAATTAGAGGCGACAGTCTGTTTCATGCTATATGCAATCGTCAGTTATTAATAACAGCACTCGTGACCTGACGATTGCGTCTAGCAGGAAACAAACTGTCGCCTCTAAGTGTTGAGTTCTATGTTCACTTTTATATTTACACACGCTCTATCTCTGATATTGAGCTCTTTTCCCATAAATATAGCACGTCTTAAGACTATAAATATATATATATATATAATATATATATATATATATATATATATATATATATATACATATATATATATATAGCCAAGTACAGGATTGGTGTATACAGAATAAATCCTGATAACCAAAAATTACTATTCTTTATAGACTGCTCAATACAGAGTAGAGTAAAGATAATTTATTCGAAAATTATAAGATAGGTATATTATAAAATCACGACAATAATAGCCATTTTGTTTCAACACTTCTGGTATCTTATCAAGTGATGGTATTGAATGCAGAATAAAGAGTTTTAAAAGGTTCAAATCGACCAAACACCCCTCGATAGGGGAAACATTGTTACATAAGCTGCAATGACCAATCAAAATACACGTATATGACAATTCAAAAAAACTTGAAAACAAACCTTGCTTATAATTATTAATTATAGATTATAATTATATATAATCATATATATAAATATATATAATTATCGAACGTATATATATATATATATATATATATATATATATATATGTGTGTGTGTGTGTGTGTGTGTGTGTGTGTGTGTGTGTGTGTGTGTGTGTGTCACAATGAACGGATGCCCCCTCGTGAGGCAGCCTGTCATGACAAACTATTGGGTCTTAAACTCACACCTGTCTTCAAGTGGAACTCTAACATACTGCCCATCGCTAAAAATGCAGATGAAGCGTTCGGCTCCCCCGTACCTTTCTTGTAATTGATTCCTCCTGTTATCCGTTACCATTACAAGAACCAGATCTGACTGAAAATAGAGTACTGCTCTCATATTTGGGAGTGAGCTGCCCAGTCCTCACTTTCCAACCTGGCTAGAATTAAAAAATTATGGATGACAAATTATATATATATATATATATATATATATATATATAAGTTCGCCCCAAGCAAGTTGATAATATCACTAACATGCAAGGGGCTAATGAGAGCGAAAGAGAATGAGAAGACTTTTAAAAAATCCCCAAACCCAGCCCTAAACAGGAAACGAGATAAACACCTTCTCCTATTAAAACGGAAGGAGTGTGAACAGGACGATAAGGGAACAGATCTACTCCAGAGGTAAAAAATGAATGGATTTATTTTTAATTCGACAAACTTTAGTTTCAGTGGAAACCTGTATTTGAAGTAGATTTTTATTTTTAAACAGTATATATTACATAGTCTTTATCAAGATTTGACAGGTCGATATGCCGAATGCCCATTAAAATTAAAAACTATATATTTCAAATACGGATAAATTATTTTTTTAAGAAATTCCTTTGTTTCGGCTTCGAATACGAAACTGGACAGATACGGACTTTTGAGAAAAATAATTTAAACGAGAAATTGTGCTTTCATTAAAAGGGAAAATATAAACTTGCTGGGTTGTTAGCACTCGGTAGCCAAGCGGTCTATGTCACACTGGTCGAAACGATGGCTTCTCCTACAAAGGGGGAAGCAGGTTTGAAACCAGCCGGAGAGAACTTTTGCTTTATTAAAATTGCGCGAGTGAACAGGACGATAGACGTAATACAGAACGTTTAAAACAAAAATGAAAAATAGGACGTTTATTTCTAATACGAGTATCCACTAGGATAATGCTTGATGTAATAAATATGCCAGATTTCAACCCAACCGATGTGGCATCAGTCGGAGTTTCCACCTATATATATATATATATATATATATATATATATATATATATATATATATATATATATATAATAATTGCATTAATCTTTTTGAAGATGCATGAAGAAGCCTGCCTATCTATCTATCTATCTATCTATCTATCTATCTATCTATCTATCTATCTATCTATTTTCATTGCTTTTAGCATTTTTATGCCTATCTATATTTGTTTTCATCTTCTTTCTCTCTCTTTCTCCCCAGATATATTTTTAGGAGTACTGAAAAGTTCTCCATTGACCAAACAACCTATATCGTAGGTCGTGACGAGATATTTTCATAATCACCTCGTCTACCTCTTTCTCTCACTCTCTCTCTCTCTCTCTCTATCTCTCTCTCTCTACATATATATATATATATATATGTGTGTGTGTGTGTGTTTGTGTGTGTGTGTGAGAGAGAGAGAGAGAGTATGCATGAGTGTTTGTGCACGGGTGGGTGTGTATCTATATTGCTTTTGGCCATAATTCACCTTTCTTTTCCACAACACTTCACTTCCTTCTATCACTTCCAAAAATAATTTATAGCATCTTCATCGATCTAATTGATGTTAAAGGTCGCTCTTGAATTGATAATTGTCTTCTGTGGACAACAACTCGATTGAACCAACGTGTCCTCAAATTCAGCTGTGCGCTCACAACACCACTTGAAAACGGAATAAAAGTATCGTTAGAAAGTGTGAGAAAGGGCGAGAGAGTAACAGATAAATAAACAAACAAGAGACACTTTAATTTAATATTATATATATATATATATATATATATATATATATATATATATATATATTAAAGAAATAAACGTTATTTTAAATAAGTTTTGTTGAGCAATATCGACAAGGTCTTCCTTTTCAATTTTTTATTAGGTTATACAAAATTTAAAATCCAGTTATTTCATGCAATTGCTTAAGTTCACAAAATTGTTTTTTATTTACTTATTTTTTCCACTTATTTCGATTATTGCTAAAGTCGTTATCAATAATTGTGTTTTTGACTGTTTATGAATTTGGTTAATAGTGGCGTCCCTTGTTTACTGAACGAATTTCACACACACACATACATATATATATATATTCTGTGTATACGTTATTTTGATCTATGTAACTTATTTGAGTAAATGATCTGTTTTAATTAACCAGTATTAATTACATAAACACACACACACACACACACACACACACACACACACACACACATATATATATATATATATATATATATATATATGAAGAAATATAGTTTTAAGGTGTGCTATATTTATGGGTTAAATTGCTCAATATCAGAGATAGAGCGTATGTAAATATAAATATAAAAGTGAACATTGAAGCCAACATTCAGTTGTGACAGGCTGTTTCATGCTAGACGCAATCGTCAGGCCGCCAATGCTGGATTTTTCCTCGGCTATTTATATATATGGCTCAGTGGTGCATTGTGGGTAACCTATTCTGGCGGTTATTTTTGCGGGAGTGGCTTGTCTGTTTATTTGTTTATTTATTCGTTTGGGTTATTTTTTTTAATTTTATTATTTATCTTACTTCTTTATCATTTCCATTTTGTAATTTATTTTTTCGGTTTTTGTTGTTTTATTAATTTACTAAAAAATTTGTATATATATAGATAGATAGATAGAGAGAGAGAGTGTGTGTGTGCGTGTGTGTGTGTGTGTGTATGATCGAAAAGATAAATTTCGGAACATCTAACTCAATTATGAGCAATATCTTAGAGCCTCCCTACCCTATGCAAAAGAAAATATTTTTTTATATGAATTTTCACGTCCTTTTGAGGATTTCATGCGCGATATTAATTGTCGTATGGACATCTTTTTTATGGCTTATCAAAATAAGATATATTTTGGATTTTATGAATAACACTTTTTTTAGCAAGTCAATATTACATTAAACAATGATTTCTTTCAAATACAATTTCTACTACCTAAACCATAGCTCTGGGCAAGAAATTGATAACAAGATTAAATTTATATTGGCTGCACACGCACGATATTTTAGCGTCGATTAATTTTCACTTGCCGAAATATAGTGTATATATCATGTATATATCGATCATCAGATGGGAAACAACCAAAATACAACTATTAACTAGTAATGAATTAGTAGGACAAATATTAGTAGATACTGCTGAAATAACATACATTACTCACTACAATTAAAGACTCAAAATTGTAGGAGTCATTATTATAGAAGAGAAACAATATATATAACGCAACAAAAGTGTGTATAGAATAGTTAACATCCGTATAAAATAATAATAATAATAATAATAATAATAATAATAAATACGGAGTTGAATTCAAAATACAGAATATCAGCCATAAACACTTTGATTGTCCCTCTGGTGCAGTAATGTTTCAACATCTTTAACTGGACCATAGCTGATATTAAACGGATAGATGTCAAAACGAGAAAGCTTTTCATTTGCCGCCGCAAGCATCAGCCTAAGGTTGAGATTGATCATTTCTATATGACTAGATCCGAAGGAGGTAGAGGATTATTTCAACTAGAACAGCTTAACAAAACCACAAAAATCGGTCTTCAAAGATACCTGGAAACTACAGAAGACTAGATGATAAAGAAGCTGAAAAATAAAAAAAAATTTATTCAGTAATAGGCCAACAAATTCAAGAAGGAATTTTAAGTGAATGGAGAAGTTCAAATAACAAAACACCTACTGAAGCAGCCCAGAACCTAAAAGTGAAAGCAAAAGCAAATGAAATTGAACCAAATACTGAAACGATGGTAAAATGAGCGTCTTCATGGTCAATACTCGACCCGTATCAAACAACTTTATGTAGACAAACCCTGTACCCATCAATGGTTACGTAGTGCAGGGTTAAAAGTTGAAACAAAAAGTTTTATTCTTGCTGAACAAGACCAATGCTTGCTAACTAGAAATTATTAAGCACAGATATTCAAAAATTGTATAACACCAAAATGCAGATTCTGTGAGAAATTTCCACAAACAATTGAAAATCTTGTATTAGGTTGCACGATGTTACCAACCACTAAATATAAAACTCGGCATGATAGAGTGACACTGGAAAAAAAATGCAAAAAAAAACTAGTATGAACATCACACAGAGATGGGACCGCTAATAATTTTATGTTACTTTACAATACACACAAAGAGGACAATCAAAACTAATCGCCCAGGAATCGTGATCAAAGTCCACAAAAACAGAATGTGAATTTTTATTGACATGGCAGTAAATGAAGATTGTAATGTATCTTTGTAGGGCTAAAAAAATCTATCAATCTACAAGGAACTTGAAGTGGAAATCTCAAAAATGTGACACAGAATGACCTCAATAATTCCATTTGTAGTTGCAACCCTCAGATTGATTCGATAGTCTAACTGAATGGATTCGTGCGTGGTAGCCCATTAAAGAAATGCAAAACGTTGTACTCACAAATACAGATCACATATTACGATAAGCTGTATCTATTCAAAATAGTTTGATCCTAGTCTGCTTTTTTTTTACAGAAATGATCGGTGGAAAATGTTATGATGTCATTTCTGATCTTAGATCATTGGTTGGGACCTGGAAAGTAATGTGTATACAAGAGAAATCCAAAGAAATTCTAATAAGAAGAATAAGAATATATTCCATACTTGCTTTCCTGGTGGTGTTTAACTCCATGTAACATTTTTCACATGACATCACTTTCTATTAATTCTAATTCAAGTACTCCGATATAATATAAGAATATAGGCAGCAAAATCTTGTCTACTTTACTGAAAACACCCAGCTCTTGATGACTGAGATGATGGAAAGTACTTGAATAAAATAGAATTAAATACGAACTTCGGGCAGTATATCAATAATTTTGTACCTATGTACAGCATTTTATTCGAAAACTGGGAAACTATAATAAAAATTTAAACAGACATTGTCGGTTGTCAGGGTAATAGTTAGTGTAGCCATTGAAAAGCATTTTATTTTTCCAGATTATAATTCGCTGAAAAGCATGGAGCAGGAAGGAAGCATCACAAGCGAAAAATGCAAGATACACACACACGCATATATATATATATATATATAGATATATATATATATAGATATAGATATATATATATATATAGAGAGAGAGAGAGATGGGGGAGGGAGGGAGAGAAATATTACAGTCGATGTCTGAATATCTGGACTCTTCATCTTTTCCGTTAGTCTGGGTGTTTGTAGTATCTGTTTTTATTGTGCAGTAATTGTAACTTTTAAATTTAGTTAGAAATAAATGAGAGAAATACCAATATCCATTTAGTTTACTTTTACTGGAAAACTACAGTAAAAATTTAAAGAGACATTCTCGGTTGCATTTGACAAAACTTTTGAATAAATGCTTGCCGCTTCAATATACTCTCTATCTCTCTCTCTCTCTCTCTCTCTCTCTCTCTCTCTCTCTGTGTGTGTGTGTGTGTGTGTGTGTGTGTCTCACTTTTATTTCTTTTTATATATATATATATATATATATATATATATATATATATATATATATATATATATATTAAATGGACTCTCCTGTCGGTTTCAACTAATGAGGATCTGATAGCTTATTGATTCAGTTATGAAATTTTGTGCGATAATCTTAAGTGGCATTTAAGACCCGCTAGTGATTTACAAAGGAGGCCACACATGGAGCAAGTGTGAGGATTGTGAGATGAGATCACTGTTAGATCGGCTGACCTTTTAGATCTTGCTCTAGCTTCTTGCAGATTGAAAATTGCTGAGTTCACTAAAACACGTTGATCTCCATTCTACCCGCTCCATTCTACCCGCTCCAAGGCTAAGCGCTCAAGAGTGTTATGTGGTATATTGACTGCTGACAAGTTGCTTTTCAGCTTGTCTTTGTATCTTAGCCATGGGCGTCCTACATTCCTGTAGCCCTGATCTAACTGGCTGTACATTACGATCTTGGGTATCCTGTCATCAGACATTCTCAAGACATGACCAGTCCACCGTAACTGAGACTGTATGATAAAAGTCTCGATTTCTCCAATATTACACCTGTTAAACAGGTCTACGTTAGATATAAATATATATATATATATATATAATAGGATAAAGATAATTGGTAATCCGTATGGATAATTCCAGGGAGGATATAAATCCTGACAGCTCAAAATAGTAAACAGAGCAAGTAATAATTCATTAACAAATCGGATACTTCAGAATAGATGAGAGAAGCAAGTATATCTACTTAGTTTATTTACTTTAAAATATATTTTTTTTTTTTGCTAAAATGATCATTGAAAAAAAACTAAGCAAATCAACGGCTGATAAAATATCTTTAAAGAATTCCTATATGAGGATCGGAAATAAAACATGAGATAATCTTTACAAAAATTACATTTGCAAAAGAAAATTACAGTAATTTTGCAGGAAATTCTTTTTTAATCCATTCACCCAAAGCAAGGAAATAATGCCACTAAGACGCGATTGTCGAAGAAAATCAGAAGACTACAGAATGAAACGGAAACCCAATCCTAAAAAGGAAACAAGGGATAAACCTCTATTTCTGTTCAAAAGACCGGGGAAATCGATCGAATGGCGAACCTACTTAGGAAAAATAAATAAATAAAGAATAAATAGTTAAAAAAAAAAAGTTTCAGAGTTTAGGCGGAGACGTCAGAAGTATAGAGTTGAAATAGACTTTAGAAGGAACCGGAAACCCAATTCTAAACAGGAAATAAGAATTTCCAAAATACCGTTCGTTTACTAAGGTTATAATAAAGTAGATCCCAATAAGAATGAAACTACAGAGCGCCGGCCTTCTTCTTCTTCTTCTTCTTCTTTTCTTCTTCTTCTTCTTTTTCTTCTTCTTCTTCTTCTTCTTCTCCTCCTCCTCCTCCTTCTTCTTCTTCTTCTTCTTCTTCTTCTTCTTCTATGCGCCAAGTCTTTTCAGAACCTTAGTGATCATAGCTCTCCACAATTTCCTGTTCTTTGTAGGTTTGAGTAAATGTTGTCTTTTTGATATCTCGCATAAACATATTCTGGCAACTATTTACGTAAGCTCATCAAGTATGTTACGCATTGCTTTCCTCTGTCTCTCTTGCCTTCAATATGTACTGTGGGTGTCAAATTTTCCAATCCGTCTTTCCTCATTAGCTGCCCTAGAAATGTCCGCTGTCTCTTTCTGATGTTAGGTATAAGTGTCTTTTTTGTACTAAAAATAGTTCGAATGTAAAAACTTACAGTAGATATTTATCAAGGCTTTTTTTTAGCCTATAATGACTTACAACTCCTCTTTTAGAAAACTAACTTACAGACCATCGTTCTACGACGGTAGTCGTTTGTCTGACTGTCTGTCTGTCTGTGTGTGCGCGTGTGTGTCTACGCAGATCGAATTTAAATCACACGCTCAGTTATGCTTGATTTTTATTCCAATCGACATTTTCAATTGTGACATTTTCTTTTCTTTTTTAATTGTGTTGACCCATATTTTGTATTTCAATATTTTATTCGAATTTCAATAATTTCTTTGAGAGGATTTTTTTTTAGAAATCTCGAAAAAATGATTAAATTTTACACAATTGCCTCCTAATGAACGAGCAGGTCACAGAAAAAAAGGAGATACAACTTTTAAATCTGAACATAAACAGATGTTTATGAGAAGCCTTCATTTCACGTTTTCTGAATATTTATATAATTTTTTCATTTGAAATACTCAAAGTTGACCTTCAAGATAAAAATATTTCCTTCAAATATTTAAGGAGTTTAATCAGAAAATTTATACTTTTTACATTCATTCCAAAATATTAAGCGACCTAGTTATTAAAAAGAACTGTTTTTAATTAGTACGTGTCATGTGGCTTCAGAAAATAAACGACTGTGATTCTCCACATCTTCCACTTTCATTATTTTATTACATTCTGATTGCTGTTTTTAAATAAATAAATTTCACGATTATGATTTTATTTTTGTCCTATTCCATGTTACTGCTATTCATGTTTATATGAAGTGGTTTCACTATTATTATTATTTTTATTATTTTCTTTGATTTCTGACGTTTACACATTTCTTTCCGGGTCCCGCCCAGGGACCTAAGGTTAGAAATGGCATCATGACACTTTCCACTGACAAAAAAAAAATTATTATTATTATTATTATAGAAGCATAATACCTATAAAAATTTATAGAAATGCGTATGTATTGGCATTTCTATCTGGGAGAAGGGTATATTAATATTTAACAGCTCACCCCCACGAGGGATGTATGTGGCACAAGGCCGAGTTTCCCGTGGGTTCTCCGATCCCGCAGTCTCAGCTAAAAATATTACCGTAGAACCCGCATATACGGATCCGGCCCTTTCTACCTCCCCGGACGAAACTCTGCCCTTCGACAAAGCCTCGTCCGGATTCGATAGTTGAACAGTTTGGAGCACTGTTCCCTGAGAGAAGAGTATATTTACTGTCAATCTCGGATCAAAATATTACTTTCCCGATCTCTTTCTCTGATCAGAATATTTGTCCCCAGTTCTCTTTCTAGGATCAAAATTTTCAACCCAATATTTTTCCTAGCTCAAAGAGTTGCTTCTCGATTCTCTTCTTAGGATAAAAATGCTCAGCCCAAGACTCTTCCTATAATCGAAATGTTTCACACCAAGTCTCTTCATAGTGCCAAAATATTTTCCTTGACTCTTTTCAAAATATTTCTCATTGTCTATGTTTCAAGGATCACACTATGTCTCCTCGTTTTTCATTCCTAGATCAAAATGTTCCACTTTGTCAATACTTACAGGATCAAAATATTTCCCCTCGACTCTCTTCTTGGTATCAAAATGTTCTATTTTGTCTAAATTTCTAAAATCAAAATGCATCTCCCCGATTTCCCTCCTCTGATCAAAGGTTTGTCCATTTTCCTAGGATCAAAATATTTTCCTTTATTTTCTTCCTAAGACCAAAATGTTCGTTATCATACAACTTCAAACGATTGAAATGTTTCTCCCTGGCTCTCCTCTTAGGATGAAAATGTTTATCCCTAACTCTTCCTAGGATCAAAATATTTCCACCCAAGTTCCTTCGTAGGTTCAAAATATTTTCTCACGGGTCTCTTCCTAGTATCAAAAAGTTTGTCTTTGTCCATCTTCCGAGGATCAAAATATTTTCTCCAACTCAAAATGTTCCTCTTTGTCAATTTTCCTAGAATCAAAATATTTTTCTCTAGGACACTTTTCATAGAATAAAAATATACTTCTTTGTCTGTATTCGTAGGATCAAAATATTTCCCCTCGACTCTCTCCCTATGATAAAAAATATTCATCATTGTCTATCCTTATACGATCAAAATATTTATCTGGACACTCTTCTAGAATCAAAATGTCCTTCTTTGGCTATCTTGGTAGAATCAAAATATTTCCCCTCGACTCTCTCATCCTTCATCATTGTCTCTCCTTATACGATCAAAATATTTATCTGGACACTCTTCTAGAATCAAAATGTCCTTCTTTGGCTATCTTGGTAGAATCAAAATATTTCCCCTCGACTCTCATCCTAGGATCAAAATGATCCTCTTCGTCTAAATTTCTAAAATCAAAAGGTTTCTCCCCGAATCTCTTCCTAAGATGAAAATGTTCCTCTTTGCCCATCTTCCTAGGATAAAAATGTTTTCCTTGACTCTTTTTCTGGGATCAAAATCTTCGTAAGATCAAAACATTTCTCTTCATCGCTCTTTCTATGATCAAAATGTTTCTCCCTGTCTCTCTTAGAATCAAAATATTTCATCCTGAGTTTCATCTAAGGAAGAAATTATTTTTTCGTTCATCCTACTAGGATCGAAAATATTTCTCTACGACTCACTTCGTAGGATCAAAATATTAAACTTGTATATCTTCCTGAGATAAAATTATTTCACAGTGACTCTCTTCCTAGGATCAAAAGCTCCCTCTTTGTTTATTTTCTTAGGATTAAAATATTTCTCCTTAACTCTGTCACTCTCTCTCTCTCTCTCTCTCTCTCTCTCTCTCTCTCAGAAGAAGAAGAAGAAGAAGAAAAAGAAAAGATTCGGAAAGAAATAATTTAATCCTATGAAGATAGAGGAATATTTTGATTGTTAGCAGGAGATTCGGAGAGAAAGATTTTGATCTTAGGAGGAAATGTGGGGGGGGACATTTTTACTGGGATCAGAATGTTACTCTTTATCTTCCTAGATAAAAAATGTTTTATCGCGACTTTATTCCTCTGATCAAAATATGTTCCTATACGAAAATGTGACTGATTTTCTCTTGAAATCGGTCTTTCATTTCAGAAAATTATATTCATGTAAAATAGATTTACTTCTAAAGTGTTTTATTCAATTTTAATAGCCAAATATTTTTTTTTTTTTTGAATAAATCAAATTTCCTGGCAGGCAGTAATTATACAGTCACTTTTGTGTTATATACCTTTTTTTCTTTTCTTTTTTTGCTTTTTTTTATTATTATACTGAAGAGCTGCATAAAATATCCTCTGGAAATTATAAATGATTTCTTGCTTGCATCAAGTGAAACTCTCTTCATAATTGGCATAAATCTAGGTAATGGTGGTACTCCAAGATCATTCCAGAGATTACAATAATAAAACATTTAGCGGGGGGAACTAGCTCTATCACAGTGATCTGTAAAATTTTGAGGAATCCTGACGCTAGTCATGGGAAATAACTGACACAAAAAATCAAAATTTCTGTGCTACCTAGAAAAAGAATTTTAAGACCTGCTATAGAAAATCCATTAAGAGGTTTTCGGAAAATGACACAAACAATAAACGACTAAATAAGTATCGGAATCTGACGTTCGCAATATCTAATCCACTAATACGCATATAGCATGAATGTCAGCCAAACCCAAACCAAAAAGAAGTCAGATGTCAATGGGAAGGGGAACTGAGATTGTAGGGTCTAGTCTGGACAGACGAAAACCGCTTCAACCATGATAGACTTGACTATTACATATTTTTGGTATGATCTCCGCTAGTCAGTTATCATACCAAAAAATCGCAAGGATTATGGATTTAAATTAGTAAAGACGGTTTTCGTCTGTCCAGACTAGACCCTACAAGTCAAAAAATAATTCTTTAGGATCATCACATCCCATTGACATCTGACTTCTCTTTAGATTATGGACCGAGAGAAGTTTACTAGTTGTATTATTATAGTTAAAAGAACTTTAAGAGCTCTCCAATACCAATAGCTGCTAGAACACAGCTGATCTACTAATAAATAAAAGAGGAAATGTTGTTTAATACTGTTTATTATAAACTGAGAATTTGCTTAAATATTTCTATCTATAAAAAAGAATGTATAAACATAAAAATGTCTTAAAATAATTGTCAGACTTTGTCGATTTCATAATGTGTGACGTCTTTTGTTTACATTTGATACGCCATGAGCAGATATGAAGGTACATGAGAGATTCATGGAAGATTGAAGTTTAAAATACAGTAAATTCGACCATTCTAACCGAAAACTCCTTTGTGGCCAAATCGGTAAAGGCACGTCAAGCTAAATGACGGTTCCGTATAGGATACAGGTTCGAATCTTGTCGGACGACGTATATATACTCGGACATTCAGGCCGATAAATGTTGTTTAATACTGTTTATTATAAACAGAGCCTTTACTTAAATATTTGTATCTATAAAAAAGAATGTATAAACATAAAAATGTATTTAATCAATAGAAAATGTTTCGGTGATGTGAAAAGATATGTGAATGTTGAAAACACCCAGTGCACCAATATTGAGGAGCAGAAATAAATACATGGGAGAAAAAACCTTCAATGTATGTTCTTTCAGTGAAAGATCGGGTAATTCAGATCCTGACGGCAACAGATGTAGTCATAAAGTATGCAGATTTTCTAAATAAGGGTCGATTAGTGAAAAGTATTCATTTGTTGAGGTATTATAATTACGGGACAGTTTTGAAAATCTTTATTTAAAATGAAAAATCTTCTAAAATGAAGAATGAAAATTAAATCTATTTCTTTAACCCTTTCAGAACAAAATAAGGCCATTATCACACAATGGGTTACAGGGTGTGAAAAAGAATGGAAAATTAATAAAACTGGGTTCAGGTAGACAGTAGATGGCGATCTGTGTTGTATTTACATTTTTGAAGATTGTAGTTGGCAGAGAAGCAAGAAATCGGAAGGGACTTCCACAGACAAGAAGTGCGAGAAAAGTAAACTATTAGCAGAGAACATACATCTGCGTCTAAGTAGTTCAAGAGTAAAACGATGAAACCTAGTTGCCAATCTAGTAGCATTTCTTACCGTCGAGGTACCAATTATCATTAGGACAGATATCATGAAAATATTTGTAGGAAAGGCAGAAAGAAGCCACATTACGTCGTTGAAAAAGGGACTGAAATCGAGATGCCAGGTCATCATCGATTACGTTACAGACCGTACTTTTTTTTTTTTTTTTTGGGGTGGGGGTCCAATAATCTCGAGGTATACAGTAGAAAGAACAGACCAAATATAACAGCATTATTCAATGCTCGAACGAATGGTAGGTTTATAAATGTATAAAATGGATTCTAAAAAGAAAAAAAATGTCCGACACGGCGATCCAACTTTCGTAGCAGTAGACATAGCAATTGATTTAAAAATAAAATTCTTGATGGTGACAATCAGAGAAGAAGAAGAAGAAGTTTGATTTCTCTTGGAAGATTCTCTTCTAGCCTGTCCATCAGTCTCCCAGATGTAAAATTCTTCGATAACCCTTTGGTATAAATACTGATGCAAACAAGAAAATACAATTCAAGTCAAAAACAACGCAACAGAACAAACAAATATTTCTGGTATTTTTTTTTCTTTTTCTTTTCCCCCTTGTTTAAATGAAACAAGCACTAATGATTAGCGCCCGTCTCATTAGCACGATTTCTTTATTCATGAATGATTCAGTTTGCGTTCCAGGCTAACCTATAATCAACTAATTAATTATTAATGAGAACAAAGCCTACGGCCGTCCATGTGTCGAGCGTTCTTCAGAGAGAACAACAGGCTTCGTTTCAGCAATGGAATGGGAATACAAGAAATTAGACAAGAGATGAAGGAACAGAATAAGACAAAATGAAAATGCTGCATAAACATGGAAATACACTAAGTAAGGCACAAGGCCACAAGTGAACGCCCTAGATTCCGCTCGTATTAGGCAAAGCTTAGATAATATCGATACCTGCTAATATTATCTTAGCCATGTATATTCGGGCGGGTTGATTTTTCACATTATTTAGACAATCAACATTGCACTCAGTGTAAAAGCGTGGATTTAAGGCGATAAGTACTTCTACTAAAAATTAGATATATAGCTTTTACCAACTTTTGAGCATTTAGAAATCTAAAGAAATACCAAATTTCTGCAGGTTTTTGCTTAAAAACTGTCTTCAAAATTTTACTATTTCAAGAATAAATCCAAATAAAGTTGGTATTTTTTTTATTAGATAAAATTGAATGAAAAATACATATTCAAAATAGAATACAGACTAGGAATCAGCACAAGCAAATTATGCCATTTTTAACTGTATTCGATAAGTAAAAATTGTGTAAAAAATAATTAAAAAGGCTACTCAAGGAATAAGAATTGTTAGATCATTTGTTAGATCCTAATTAATAAAAACAAAAACCAGATAAATATATATGTGACTCCATAGTACTGCTGAGCACAAATTATGAGATACAATGTTTTAAATTTGCATTGTTTATTAAAAATCACACTACATTATAATACAGCTAAATTGTTCAGTATAATTTCTCTTTGAAATAAATGAAGATCTTATTTTGATGGTACAATGATTTAGTAATAATGTACGTGTGCCTTGCATCTTTTCAATATAGAATTTGTAAAGCTTCGGTAAATTATAAATTTTATAAGTTGGTGCTATAAGGCTTTCACTGATCACCGGAATGACATTCCAACATTACACTTAATCTTTAAACGAAAAAAAGAGTAACGATTTGGAAAGAGATATTTTACGTCATTATTTATCATCTCACGCGACAAATTTCCAATGCTGTGCAATACCACGATTCTAAAATCGACTTGCCCTAATCTACATATGCTCAACTGTGGCTCATCCAATGAGGAAATAACTCACTATTTGATAGTAATAATCTACAGGACTATATGTTTGACTGGGACACGGCTCCGAACTAAATATAGTCTTTATATATATATATATATATATATATATATATATATATATATATATATATATATATATATATATATATATATATATATATATATATATACATATAAAATACAGGATGGGCGGAGTTTTAGCGGTTATCGGCGTGGAAATTGAAATCGGCGAACCAAGTTCGAATTTCGGTCGTTTCTGTTTCCTTCATTTGTGAAAAAAACAAGAATCCACTTTCCTTCTGCTGTGGATTAAATAACAATAGAGACGGTACTCTCTTGCCGTGAGGTGGCAAGCAGTCTAGGAAAACACTGAAGTCAAAACAAAGCCTGAAGAGGTAATGTAAATTGGAATGTAGTTCTCATTGATTTAAATATCGATTATTAAAAGCCAGAAGATATTTATTAGATTATTAGATTTTTTTATATATAATAGTAGTTTAGTGATCCAAATCTTACTAATTAACCTATATTTGGGGAGAAAAGAAGTGGATTCATACCTTTCTCACTGGTATTGCGCATTAGTGAATATAGTGAACCCAACTAGTACTGGAACTCAGCTCTCCGATTAGCAATTCCGAGCCATTATCCATTACACCACCCGCACATCCAAGCTTTCAACACCTGATATTTATCAAGCAGTCAGCCATCTAAGTACTGATCGAGTTCAACGTTGTTTAAGTTTGGTGATAATCCGACATATTTTTTATTACGACAAGCGTTTTTTTTAATGGATCACGGTATTTGACTACACACTTTATATTTGAACAGTATTTATATCGCCTACCGGCTTTCGTATATATATATATATATATATATATATATATATATATATATATATATATATATAGAGAGAGAGAGAGAGAGAGAGAGAAAGAAAGAGAAAGAGAAAGAGAGGTGTGTTTGA